ATTTTGTTTGATTAATCGTGGTTTGGGCCTGTGTTCGTTGTAGCGATTGGCGAACCCACGACCTGTTTGCCCAACATATTGGCTCGGACAATCTTGGCATTTAATTTTGTAAACACCTGTCATTTCCATTTTATCTCTTGATCGGTCAATTTGTGACAGGGTGTTACGAGTACGGTTTGTAGTTTTGAATGTTAATTCGATTCCCTGCCTACGAAGCTCTTTGGATAGGCAATTTTGTAGTGTGTGGGAATATTCAATACATACGTACTTCGTCCTTTTGTTTGACCTCTCTATTACGGTGTTTGATAATAAGTCTGTCTACAAGCCCGCTATTATAGCCGTTGGATATGGCTATATGTTTGATGATATTGTATTCATTATTGTAATTTGTGGGACTTAAGGGGACCGTTAAAAGTCTGTGTACCATAGAGCTGTATGCTGCAATTTTTTGAGAATGTGGATGATATGAGGTTGCGTGAATGGTCTGAACTGAAAAAGTGGGTTTCCTGTAGATTTTATAATCGAATTTATTGTTAATTTTAGTTATGGTTAAATCTAGGAAATGTATTGCGTTGTCTTCTTCTGTTTCTAATGTGAACTTTAATCTCGGGGCTATTTTGTTTAGATAATTTAGAAGTAGATCCAACTGCCTTTTACTGCCATCAAACAAGACAATTGTATCATCAACATATCTATTGTATAATACTATTTTAGAATGATATTTGTTCTTGCCAGATAAAATGTACTCATTTTCAATGTAATTTAAGTGTATATTAGATAAAATTCCAGAGAGCGGGGAGCCCATTGTCAGACCATCAGTTTAAGAATAATATTTCCCATTAAATGCAAAATAGTTTTGCCTCAAAATCTCTCTTAACAGGTCAATAATCTCTTTTATTGCCTCTGGTAACATAGCTGATTTGTTTGTTAAGTTTGTTTGTATGATATCTATGGTTTTTTCTACGGGCACATTCGTGTATAAATTCACTATGTCGAATGAGGCAAGCAAATGATGGTTTTGTATGCGCCAATCTTTAGTTTTGTCAATTAAATCATAGGAATTCCTTAGGCTGTGGTTATTGTTTAGCACTATATTATCCTTTAGGATTCTTTCTAGTCGTTTAGCGATATTGTATGTGGGTGCGTTTGTGTAGTCGACTAGTGGCCTGATGGGAACACCTGTTTTATGAACTTTAGGAAGCCCCCGTAGTATTGGGGCTGATGGGTTCATGATACGTAGATAGCGGATATCGTTATCAGAGAATAACACTTTACTCGAATTTAGCCAGGTTATGTTTATCACGAAAATTAAAAGCAAAATACAAACAAAGCCCTAATTCTGCCAGTCTAACGATGTCACAAAAACACCAAATTAATGTTCTAAAAAACATAAGAAACAAATTGTCTGAACATGATGCTATGCTTTGCAAAGCCGACAAGGGTAATACCACTGTTATCATGTAAAAACAAGATTACATCGCTAAAGTTGATGAGTTTATCACTGCCAACGAAGTTATTGAACTAAAAAAAGACCCTACTAAAAATTATCAAACAAAAATCAAAACTCTGATAAATTCGAGTAAAGTGTGCTTTACTAAAAAACACACTATATTAGTTTCCTTGTAGCAGCAAACCTAGGTACTCGTTAAACCTAATGTTGTTAAAATATATTTAATTGAAAATCAATTCAGACAAATGGAAATTCGCTTAGTCGGCAGGTTTGCTGTGGTGGGGGTATTTTAATTTCAAATGCGTATATCTCAATACCGGGTTGAAATAGGCAAAACTATTAAAATGTAAGCCTACAAATTGGGTTACAACACTTGATTAAAAATAATTATCACCATTTGTTAAATAGTTTAAACAGTTTAATTTGTATGCCAACGCATAATAACATAATGTTGGTGTTGGTAAAGATTACAAACTCAATGCATTGCTTTATTGTTTTAAAATACTTATATCTCGAAAACAGCTTAAAATACAGCTTGAAAATAGTTAAAATTTCAGCCTACTACATGGGTGTCAACTATGGAAATCTATGCTAGAGAAAATTCTGGCAATAAATATATATTAACACTAGCTGTAACCCGCGGGCTTTGCCCCGTTTAACTTCCTCATTTTCAAGATTATCTCGTTCGCATGGCTCAATCACGTCCTGGTTGAAGTTTGTTCGCTACGCTCACTCACCTTTAGGTTGGAGCTCGTTCGCTGCGCTCACTTACCTTCAGGTTGCAAATTAGCTGTTGTCATAAATGTAAAAGAAATAATAGTGCTGCACCCTGTTGGTAATCCTTGTAACTTTAATGCTATTGAACATCATAGAACAGAACCAACTTGTTTAGTTGAAACAGCTGTTAAGATTCAATAATTCCATTTCTCATAAGGTTAACATGGGAAACTCCAGAGCCACTGGGGCGGAGCCCGAAAGGATTTTTGAAATAAGAATATGCCTATATGTTAATCGGGAATGTGAGCTATCATCATGCCAAATTTCAGCCCAATCTGACCAGTATTTTTCGCCTTCACTTATCACAAACATCCAAACTTTCTAATTTATATTATTAGTAGGATTAATAGATACATTTTCTAAAAAAGCTTCTGCTGCTTCACTGATAAAGAATAAGACAGGGTTGGGGGTTACAGAAGCCTTAAAACCATTTTACCAAAGGGGGTTAAAAACATTAAAACTGACGATGGAAAATAATTTTTGAAAATTTTATCAAACTAAATCTTAATCACTATCACACTTTATATACTACTAAATCTGCAATTGTAGAAAGGTTCCTGAGAACTACTTTAAAGAATTAATTATATAGAGAATTTAATACTCAGGGAAGCTATAAATTATTGGATTTACTTCCAAAGTCAATCAGAAAATATAATAATGAAGGGCACAGTTCTCTGGAATGAAGCCTAACCAAGTGAATGTTAAGAATAGTAAATATGTGCATGATGGTTTGACTTTTAAAGTGCAAGTTAAAATTCCAAATATATGAGGTGGCTGATAGTGTAAGGATTTCCAAGTATAATAATGTGTTTAGTACAGGATATACCCCAAATTTGACAGGGGAGCTATTTACAATAGCAGAAGTTAAGAATACTAAGCCTGTGACTTATATTTGAAAGATGAAAATGGCAATATAATCAGAGGAGGATTCTATACAGAGGAGTTGTTAAAGACCAAGTTTTAAGACATGTATTTGGCAAAGAAGGTATATTTTGAAAGATGAAAATGACAATATGATCAGGGGAGGATTTTATACCTAGGAGCTAAGCAGCGAGCAGCGATAAGCATGTCAATGCCCGCGGCCGGGTTGGCGCTCGAGTTTTGTGCAAACCTCGCACTGTCAAGTCGATGTGTTTGAAAATATTCGTGGGAATAGATGTAGATTTGAAATGTTAACGGAGTTGTACAATAGTATTGAACATTTCTATGGGTTTGTATAGGCCGAGAGCAGGGTCTTAAAAAAAATGGTTAAAAGCTGTAACGGTAAAAATTTCACGAGATAAGAAAACGAGCGTTCGTACGAATTCAAATGGCCCGCGCAGAGTCATTAGTTCTCCAAGCGGCCACGTACTGCGCTAGCGTCGCGACCCCTATAAAAGCGGCGCAGGACAAGGCTCAGTCGGACTTGGGGAGCTCTGAATCGGAGTGCTGGGCGAATAGCTAGCAACATCTCCCTGGTAGGGCGAGGGCGGAATAGCCCGGTAATAACCAGTGGTGGAATAACCCTGGAAGCGTCGAATACTAGGGTTAGGCTGAGGGCGGAATAGCTCTCGGACCCGCGGATATTACGAGACGGTAGGTCGAGGGCGGAATAGCCCGGTAATTAGCCAGTGGTGAAATAACTCTGGTATCGTCGAATACTAGGGTTAGGCTGAGGGCGGAATAGCTCTCGGACCCGCGGATATTACGAGACGGTAGGTCGAGGGCGGAATAGCCCGGTAATTAGCCAGTGGTGAAATAACTCTGGTATCGTCGAATACTAGGGTTAGGCTGAGGGCGGAATAGCTCTCGGACCCGCGGATATTACGAGACGGTAGGTCGAGGGCGGAATAGCCCGGTAATTAGCCAGTGGTGAAATAACTCTGGTATCGTCGAATACTAGGGTTAGGCTGAGGGCGGAATAGCTCTCGGACCCGCGGATAGTACGAGACGGTAGGTCGAGGGCGGAATAGCCCGGTAATTAGCCAGTGGTGAAATAACTCTGGTATCGTCGAATAGTAGGTGTTAGGCCAGGGCGAAATAGCTCGTGGACTCTCGACAATCGAATCGGTTAATTATAAGTATAGTTGGTTTTAATTCCAAAAGTGAAACACGGTATATCCATTAAGTAGAAGTTTATTTTTATTTTCGAAGTTAAGATTTTAGTTAATTACGACCAGTGTTTCACTCACGGAATTAACGCCAAATTTTGTTCAAATTAAGGCCTTACCCGGGCAGTGATGAATGTGTCATTTACTGAAAGCTGATGCTTTAACGACCATATCTGAGCCCATATTTTAAAACTAAATACTATTATTATTACCACTAACCCTGGACTAACTCAATTAGATTAGCTATCCGAGGCCAACAGTACAATTTTGTCCCAGGACGAAATTGCACCATCACAAAGCTCACCTATGTTATTATTACGAGGAAAAAGTCCCTAAAGTAGGGTATCTTTCCTATATTGCCCCTACTTTACATTTACACTTGTATGGGTCAATAAATGAAAGAATTAGCTTGATTTTGAAAATATATAAGTGATAAGTGATGATTAGTAATATTTAAAAGGTTGGATATTTATATAGTGATACGTAGGCAAAGACCAGGATTTTTTTCTAACTGCCCAAAAAATTATCTCCATGTTATTCTTATGGGATAAAAACTCTCAAGCGTCGTCTCTTTCCTATATTGTACCTACTAATTACAACTTTAAAAGTTCAAATGAATTGCATAAAAAGCCTTTGCATTGTAATATACAGATTACAATAAGACTAAGTACTAATTAACTCACCTCAGTTCTCCAAACAAATACAACATAAATGTAATTTATCTTTGCAACCAACTTATAGTCGTGCTGAGTGGATGAGATGAGTGATAAAAGATCAATAAAAACTAAATTAGCTTGACGATGATAACACGTTATTGTTTTAAAATTTTTCATTATAAGTATAGATAACGAAAATTACTAATTCACGTGAAATGAACTACATATTTTTTTATTATTAAAGAAGAGAACTTTTATTATTACATTTAATGATACAACAGTACAACAGCTGACCAGTTGATTTACAGCCTGTGCTGCCAATGTATTTCGCGCGCATATGACCTTGTCTGCATGTTACGCGATCACTATTTCTTGCCTTCACGTTGCAAATCTGGAGCGAGTGAGACAAAGTAATTAGAGTGAGACAATGTTAACATTGTCTCACTGATGAGCGAATTGGCCACTTTGCTTTCTCAAATCAGTGAGAAAACATGTACATTGTAAGGTAACTGTAGGAAAAAATACTTTTCACGTAAAGATAATCTCTCAAAAAAACTTCTAACTTGCCTTCTATTTCGCTGATTCAAAAAATCAGCTGTAAAAAAAATAAGTTACAAAAAAAGGGCTACATTTTATGTATGATTTCCATGATGTTATAAAATACCCCCACCACAACAAACCTTCAGAATGAGCAAATTTCCATTTGCCTGGTTGGATGAACACTAAAATTAATTTTATTTTATTTTTTGTAAAATGAATGATTGAGTAAGAAATAACTGCATTTCCCAAATTTGATCAAAATGTCTTCATAAACAAGCAAACTATAACAGTTACTTATTCTCCATAAAAATAACTCTGATTTTTTTTTATTTACCATATTTTTAATTTTTGCCGTAACGATTAGGTGCATAAACGTTTCAATATACAAAATGATTTATTATTTTAAGCCCTACAAAATGTTTTGGAAAGTAATTGGTGAGTTTGATGTTTTGGGTCAAAAACGGGAAAATCCGGTTTTTACCCCTTATGCTGTAAACACCCATAAACCCCCGTTCCCATAGTCCGTTCATGCTGGTTCGAGAACTCGTTCTAGTAAACGTAGGTTTACATGTTTGTACCTAATATCATCGAGATCGGATCGGAATTGCTCGAGTTTTTGTGCTAACGGACACATTATATACAGGGTGAACAGGTTAGCTGTGCCATGTGCCACCATTATGTATAGTTTGTCGAGGACGTTTTTTGGGGTTCGGCATCAGCTCCCCCGCCCCACGTCTAATTGCTAGTACATCTACCATTCCCCCTTCTAGTTGTTTGATATGTTGATATATATTTCTATCTTATCTATATATTAGTCGTATGAGTTGTTTAATATTGTCAGTATAGTTTTTCGGTGACGTTTTTTGGGGTGCGAGGTTTTTGGACCAACTCACCCGCCCCATGTCCAATTGCTAGTACATCTACCATTCCCCCCCTTCCAGTTGTTTGATATGTTGATATGTTGTTGTCAATATTTCTGTCTTATCTATATATTTGTCGTAAAAGTTGTTTAATATTTTCATTCTCTTTTTTATGTTATTCCAATCATCTATATCTATACTATTATATAAAAATCTAATGGTGTCTGTCTGTATGTGTGTTACTAATAGGTGCAAAAACTACTGAACCAACTGGGATTAAATTTTACAAAAATATAGCTACCATACTAAGGACCATTATAGGACTACTAACATTTCGATACTAACCGTAGGTTTTGCCCCTTTGGCTTTAAACGTTCTGAGGTGAACATTTTAAAAGTAAATATTGATTGGTCTCCATGGCTGCGATTAGAACACTAACAATGTTTGTTTACATTTGCTTTGACATTTAAATGTAAACAAGAAGAACTGCAAACTGCATATTTCATAATTTCAGACAGCTGATACAAAGACATTATTTTCCATAACTATGAGGTAGGTTTATTTTAATCTAACCTTTTATCATTGATTATTTATTGTAAAACTATGTCAATGATTATAAAAAAAAAAGATTCTATAACCGTTGCTGTATCAACTTCGGCTCTGCTTTGGATTTTTTAAAGCGTTTAAGTTATGAAAATAATGTTATTGATATGTTTTCATGGAAACAGTATGAAAATTACAATGTATAGATGTTTTATATGAATTTGAAGGCTACTTTAAATAAATTCTAACTGCTTAACATGTGTTTGATTAACAATAACTTGCACATAACATTGTTTTTTATATGTATATTTAGGTAAATTAAGTTATGTTTTGCTAAACCTATGCTTAAATTAAACTATAGAATATCATCAATAACTAAATTGTACGTCGTTGATTTTTATTTTCTAAAATCTGTTATTTAATTATCAAATGGTAATACAAAATACTCTTATTTTATATTAACATAGCTTTCAGTTCACATTTACTTTATTTGATACATTTATTATTTGTGTTTTGCCACAACACTGATTAAACTAAACCAAGGAAAATATCATAAAACTAAGCAGTACACAGTGTTCTTTTGTTTCTAAAATCAATGAAATATCTGTTATGTTTACTTAATGGTAAGTGTGAAAATGTAAAGCCAATGGGCAATGGAACTGATTAAAAGAACTTATTTGTATATTAAGTGGTTTGTTGATATTTTTGTAGAGTAGAATCAGAGATGCAATTAAACATATACTGTATTTGCTATTACATTTTTTAGTCTTTGATAATCATATTAGTTTTGTCTGCTGTCTTTATACTAAAATTATTTGTTTAAAATTTTGTATAGTACCTATATATATAGTTTATTTAATATTTCAAAAAACTGTATTGATAAGGCACAGTGATATTTCTTAAGTTTATAACAGCTGACTTAGTTTTGCTAATGATTTATTGTGAGTGAAGAAACTGAAGCTGGAAGGATTTGCGATTTAATATAAAGAAGAGTGAAATTAAAAAAAAATGTTCATTTAAATTCAATAATTAGTATTTTTGCAATTAAGAGAGATAAAGGTAAATCATGTATGTCAAAGTTTTATTCGAAGATTTGGTAAGTTTTTCTCATATCAGCCTACACAAGATTTAAAACTAATCAAAACCAAAATGGTGGTATCCATAACTTACCAGATTTAAAAGTCATAACTTAAACGTTTTTATTAAGGCCATAAAAGTTGAATTTTGTTTCTAAAAGCGTTAGCGGATGTGTAAATATTATATGCAACAAATGTAAAGATTAAAATGTTTCTATTTTGTGTCCTCTTCCCGTTGCAAAGCACGGGTACAACAGCTAGTATTGTATAAATACCTCCTACCTTTAGAGTCATCCATATGAAATAATTCTTAAAATATTTTTTATCTTATTTTAACGTTATTTTTACGTTTTATACATTAAAGAAGCCTAAACAAGTCTCATCCAAATTTATGTCTGTCTGTCTGTAACACTCAAGATGGCATTTTACGCAATCTTCCCTAGGAAAACGAGAGTACCTATCAAGATCCAAGACATTTTAATGTATTCAGTGAATTGGCGAGAGTTTCTTTAGTCATTAAAATATGGCCTCACTACTTAGTAAATAAAACTACAGACGTTCAAATAAGCAGTTTTGTGCGATTTTTGTCCAGTTTTCGTCCAATTTTTATTACACAATGATCTATGAAATGACAAACAGCTGTTCGGATCATGATTATTTTTTCTAGATATCACTGATATGTTTACGAATGTTGTTTACAAATACCGCAAACATTTCCGATCACCGATCACCGGATTTAATTAATCGCAAGTGGAATAATATAGTGTAACCGTAACTAGGCATCATCCAGGTCAGGAACCAGAGATTCTTTGGTTATAAAATTGTTCTTGAATTTTGATAACCAGAAAGAAGACCTTGAATCAGTGTTGTATAGGGCTGGGAAACTTGAATTTATTAGTGACCATCGCCAATAGCTTACAAACAAGGTTTCCACTCATTGACGGCGCTTCAATGGTGGTTGTGTAAAATGTAAAGTGAAATATCACAACTGCAGTGTGTGATTGTAACAGAGGTTTACGGATGATACTAAACTCGCTTTTCCAATGACTGTGTCACTTTCTGTTCCTACTCACCGTGTGATGCAATAGCTGGACCTTACAACCATTAGGCCCATAGCCCATCTCTTGGGTACGTATTATAAATTACCAATTTAAATCTTCTATGGTATAGTACTTCATTTCATATAATAAGCCGTCATTTCGACAGCATTTCGGGTCATCTCCGAACTAAGCAAATATAAATTGTTATGATAAAACTTGATGACATTAACAAAGATTTCATAAATACTGTACTTATTTTATAGGTATGTACTCCGTTAGGTATGCTTAAAGCATAGCAAATTCCCTAATTAAATTCTGTATTTTTGTGTATATGTCTGTTGGTGACGCATTAATGTCCTTATTTCTCAGTGTTTCACGGAAAGGACAAGAGCAAAATAAAGTTTTAAATGGCGAGGTTCAGGTAGTACTATAAATACTTTTAGCCATTGTGGAAAGTAACTTTCAGTTATAGGCCTACCTTAGGGATATGCCTCATAGATTCAGTATGAAGCAAATTTTAGCATATAAAAAGCATATTTTAGTTTAATCATTAGATTTAAAATATGGACCAACACGATCCGATCCGGGTGACATTTAATTGCGTTTGTTTTGGCTTAAAACTGTCAGATACTGTATTTGCTAAGGTTTATATATAATAGTTTTGCCAGCATATCTGAAAATATGCAAACCAACTTAGGTGATTTAGATCGTATCACTGGTATATCAATTTAGATTGTATATCAATGGTAGGAACAGAAAGTGACACATTGGGAAATCGAGTTTAGCATCATCCGTAAACCTCTGTTACAATCACCCACAGCAGTTGTGATTTTTTACTTTTCACTTTACACAACCGCCATTGAAGCGCCGTCAATGAGTGGAAACCTTGTTTCTAAGCCATTGGTGACGATCATTAATAAATTTAAGTTTCCCAGCCGTATACAACACTGATTCAATGTCTTCTTTCTGGTTATAAAAA